CTTCCAAAAAAAATAGATGTGCATCAATACAAAGAATGGTCTAATCTGGCATCTGTTTATTTCTGGAAGTAACCCTGATTTGCTAATACATTTCTATGTGTCAGAGGAAAAAAAAGTCATCCATAAAAAGACAATTACAGCGATGCAATCAAGCATTGATAGTAACATTCAGACACATCTCAAAGAACATTTGGAAGAGGAAGAATTGCAGGTTTAGTTTTATGTAGCTTCTTATAAATCAATTTTTAAAGTAATTCTCTCACCTCCAATGAAGTAAATTTGATTTCTGTAGCCAGTATTCATATCCAGAAAACAATAAGCACTTTGTTCTATAATTACTTGATGCCTATGGTTTTAGCCCAGAGACATTATTTTATTTATTACAGAGTGAGGTTCTCCCCAGAGTCTACACCACGGGCTGGTAATACATTCGGTGCTCACAGAAGAGCCATAAGGCAGCCAGCAGCTCCTTATGTCCTCACAGAGCCAACACCCGACCCTCAGCACCTGGCTGATTACCCAAGAGGCAGGCCTCCACTCCAGAGGAATGGGGACTTGTGCCAGAGAAACAGATGGAGGCCAGGTGCAGTGGCGCATGTCTATTATCTCAGCTGTTTGGGAAGCTGAGGCAGGAGGATTGCAAGTTCAAAGCCAGCTTGGGTAACTTAGCAAGACCTTTTCTCAAATAGAAAGTGGGGGGAGATGTAGATCAGTGCTAGAGTGCTTGCCTAGCATGGGCAAAGGCCCTGGGTTCCATCACCAGTATGACAAAAATAAAAAAGAAGAAAAGCAGAAGTTAAGGGACTCCATTAGAGATGCAGCAAGTCATCAGTGAGGTCTGGGCACTGTGCAAGAGCTTCCCGTCTCTCTCTACTGCTCTGAGCAGAGCCTTCTCTTCAGTTCATCCCAGCTGCCCTGGCCTGAGGAAGGCAGAAAAACCATGAGTCCCTCTAAGAGCTGCAGGCTGGAGAAGCAGACAGGGCAGGGAGGTGAGGACAAGACCTGAGACCAGTCCTCTGCTTTCCCAACAGCGCCCTGGTTTTGATCCTACATTACTGGGCCATATTTAGATGAATGGGAAGGTAAGAGGTGGGCACCTGGGTTGTCAAAGCAAAGAGCCAGAGCCAGACACAGTCTCTGCAGAAAGCCTAGTTGAGCGCCCTACTATCCATTCAACAACAATTTGTTGAGGACCCACTGTGCGCCAGAGGACACAGCAGTGAACACAGAGCCCAAGACTCCCTCTTCCCCCACAGGGCTGGGTTCTAGTAGGGGAGGCAGATGGTGAATGAGATAAACACAGAGCACTGAATGCTGAGTGGCAGTGGGTGACAGGAAGAAAAATGAAGCAGCAAGGGAGATGGGGATGTTGGGGGAGAGGCCAGGTAAAGGTTAAGCACACTGGAAGGAAAGGGAGACAGACAGACAGCCATCAGGGAGGAGAGGGCAGGAAGTGGAAAGTTCCTGAGGGGAGCACATTCTGGCACTCTAGAGCAATGGCTAGGGGAGAGTGGCCAGAGAGGGGCTGGGCAGGTCCTCACTGGCTGTGACCTGAGCCAGGATCTGGACAAGGAAGTCCACAATCTTGTATTATTTGCTTGGAAAGGAACTTTCTGGTGCTGTCCAGGAAGGAGACTCTCAGGGTGCTGGCAGTAGGCAGTGGAGGTAATCAGAGAAATAGACTCAGAAAAATAATTAAAATAAAATAATCCAAAATTTAAAAATATATAAATACATGTTTATAAATAAATGTATATGTACACATACACACAGGATTGAACCTAGGAGTGCTTTAATACTGCCCTACATCCCTAGTCCCTTTTTTATATATACCTTTATTTTATTTACTTATTTTTATGTGGTGCTGAGGATCGAACCCAGGGCCTCCCACATGCTAGGCAAGCACTGTACCGCTGAGCTACAACCCCAGCCCCCTAGTCATTTTTATTATTTATTTTGAGACCGGATCTTGCTAAATTGCCACAGCTGGCCTCAAACTTGTTATCCTCCTGCCTCAGCCTCCTGAGTCACTGGGATTACTGATGTGCACCACCACACCCAGCTCAAAATGTCTTTTCAAGGGGAGCCCTGCTAAATCACCTCAGGGGAATGGGTTTTTATTTTGTCTTCTGCCTTTGGGTAATCCCTGGGGATTAACCAAGGCCATGTACAGCCATCCCTCAGTATCCACAGGGGATTGATTACCCAGAGAATTTCAAAACCTCTGAATGCTTGAGTCCTTTGTATAAAATGGCATAGTATTTGCATATACACACATCTTCCCACATACTTTAAATCAACTCTAGATGACTTATACTACCTGGCACAATGTAAATGGTGTATAAATGGCTGTTATACTGTACTCTTTAGGGAATATGGACATGAAAAAAAAAAAAAGCTGCACAGACATCATTTTCTTCTGAATATTTTCCATCCATCCATGGTTGGTGGAATCTGCAGACAAGGACCCAATGAAGATGGAGAGTCAACTCTATGTCAAGTTCTGGCTCATATTAACCTCTTAAAGGCTATATGTTGGTGCTAATGGGTTATCATTCTCAGGGTGTCTCAGGGGGCACCAGCCTTGGAGCCACCACCTCACCCAGGCTACTTCCGAGGAATCTGTGGTCCATGTGACCAGCAACTCCAACAAGGTGGCAGGGGCTGCCAGAGCCTGAAGTTGGCTTCAGGACCCCTCACAGGAAGAGGGCCCATGGGTGTGGAGACTCGGGAAGGCAGTGTAGAGAGGGAATGCCAACAGCCTGCACCAGACTCCCTGCCAACAGCTCTGGTTCTGCCCTTAAGAGAGAGTCTGCCCTGGGTCATCCATGTGGGGCACTGAGGAGTTTCCAAGCCACTCACTGCTTCTCCAGGGTGGGGGCTGTCCCTGGCCTCCCGGCCCTTTGTCAAGATGCCAGCCATCCACCGCTGAGGCTTCAAGAAAAGTACATTTTTCTAGAGACTTACTGAGATTTTGACACAGGAAACAGCTTAAACTAGAAATATGTCGTCCCAGCATTGACTAGCCATTAACTTTTCATAAGCAACTCAGGTATGAAGCCTTTATGGCTCTGTTATGACACAGGACAAATCAGCTATCTGCTGTTTTATTTTATTATTGAGGCTTCCACAGAATGCTGGGAATGGGGCTCTTTTCAGCAAAGTGATGTTTCACAGCCCACTGGCAGGGTTCCGGCAGAGCCCTCTCCAACACTGTTCGCCACCAGGAGAAGGGAGTCGCAGGGGGTTGGCTTTCTTTGTCCCCAATGCTGAAAGGAGGTTGTGTGTGTCCACTATTGACCTTCCCACCTCCCCACTGGCATGCACCTCTCTTTTGCCTGCAACTCTTACTTGTGCTAAAACTTCTTTAAATGAACTTGTGATGGTTGTGCTGGGCCCTCCAGGGTGTGAGCAACGGAAAACGTCATCCTTTCAGGGGGCAGAAGTGTACGTATTAATGAAAGCCGCCCAGCGCTGCTCACGCATGACCCTTGTGCACAGAAGCCAATGGTCTTCTTCTTTTCTGCCACCAAAATG